CCCCCCCCCCCCCCCAAAAAAAAAAAAAAAAAAAAAAAAAAAAGAAAAAAAATCGCCTCTGACCCCTCTTCAAATAATCCTGGATCTGCCACGATTCCAAACTGAAAAAATAAATTAGTAGGCCTACTTTCTCAGTCATTATACCTATAAAATGTGTGCATTGAACTCCAAAATAGTTGGTGTCCTTTTAAAACATGTAAAATATTGGCTATGGCAGTGTTCAAATTTTGTTGAAACACCGATATACACCACAATACGAAAGGGCAGGCCCGAAAATGTGTCTCCTATTTTTTTTTTTTTTTTTTTTTTTTTTTTTTACTGTTATGTGATGCGTTTGACTAAAAGGGACTTTTAACGGGTTTATATAAATGTCACTGCCAAGCCTGAACGAGTCACCTACTAGGAATGCTTGGAAGCCAATCACGACTAATATTTACATTAAGGGCGTAAGCTTCTGTATACACAGACAATCAATAAACGACGTATCTATTTTTATAACCAAGTTTCGGTGACGTTTACGCTCCCCTAGTTGAAAACAAACATTTGTCATCCGCTTGTAATAATGGATGAATTATAGGCCTACGACAAAGGCCAGTCCCCTCCCCCCAAAAAATAAATAAATAAATAAAAGATGGTATAATTAGCGAATAAGCAATTTCCCATCACTAAGAACTGAAGAATTGTTCTCCTTTAGCATTTTGGCTTTACCACACAGTGAAAGGCTCTGGTGAAAATAATATGTAAATCACAATCATCTGGATAAAGTGTTACGATTGGGTTAAAAAATAAATAAAGTCAATAAATGAGGGTTCCTATAGGTGGGTAGTTATCACAGTTCACGGGAAATATAATGATCAATTCAAAAATAACAGTAAATAAAACTTGATTCATAACTAATTGATAATGCAAGTCGAAAGGTCTGAAAATCAAGAAAGGGGGAGAATAAAAGCCCACATTCACGAGTCACGGGCGTGGGGTGCGTCACGGATCACCCTTCAAAATATGAGCGTTTCACGCGTTTCAGGAGGTAAAAAGTGGCTTTTACGGGTTGCGATAGGAAAATACCCTTCTAAGTGGAATTAGCAGGGCATTAAGGAAAAAAGCTGCGTTGTAAATAATAAGTATCTTACAGACTCCAGACGCAGAAGTTCCATGTGCATTGCAAATTACATGAACGCACTGATTACCTCCTACAAGGAGATACGTTTTCTCCTCCCGTTTGTTCGTCATCATCCTAACTCGGAAATGTTATCGGTGGATTGTGATGAAATTTTCATGATACGTGTGTAGGTTACATACGGGCTTACTTAAAAATGAGAAAATTAAGGTTAATTATTAATCAATTAATGCAGGCCCGTAGCCGGGGGGGGGGGCGGGGGGTTCGAAAGAACCGCCCTTTTTGTCGGGAAAAGGTCCATTCTGGGTAAAATTTGATCTAGGTACACAGAGGTTTCATTGGACAAGGTCCACTTATTCAGAAAAAGAACCCCCCTTTTGAAATTGCTGGCTACAGGCCTGTGATGGTTAATCTTCAGTCAATTACAAGTTAATTTACCTCTCTGCTGGAAACATGATGCAAAAAGTAATGGAGAGATGGTGACCAAATTGTGAGGAAAGGTCGGGAATAGGTACTTTTGGGGAACCCAAAAGGGGGTGAATATTTGTAGCTTCTTAATTAGTTTATTAATTAGTTTACTTATTTATTAGTAAGTTATTTAAGTAACTAACCATTATGACGAGCAATTAATCAGTTAGTTAATAGTACATTAGACAAAGTGAAGATTGAATTAATTTGTTGAATAACTAATTTACAAAAGAATGCACTCTCCGAGTGCTATTCTAGTCAACTGAAAAAATTATCATGTTAAATGGCTTATGTTGCACTTTTTTGAGACTTACAAATAACCTAAATGCTTTATTCTAATATATTTGCCTTCAGTCCACATCCTTGTCACATATCATCATTAATTGACTGCATTAACTTTACCAATTCACAGCCCAAATGACTTAATCTTACCAAATGGAATTATTGCAAGTTGTGTGATATTTTTTTTTTTTTTTGGGGGGGGGGGGAGCTCAGCATCTAATGGATAAATGAAATGCTGCTCAATAATTTGAAAATTAAAAATAGAGTTAGAGTAAAAACAGTTCCAGTATCATTTTATAAATGAGTCAGTGGTTAATGAGATAACAATATTTAAAGTTTATTTTAAATTATAATATAAATACACTTATACTTTCAATTTTTTAAAAAGTTTTTATATTTTAGTTTCTCAATAGCATATCAAACATTCTTTATACATTGCAATCTTAACCAATTCCAACAGAAAAAGAACAGAGCTTACTATTTTTTTTTATCAAATAACCAAACACAGCAATTTCTGCCAATAAAAGAATTGTTCCCACATTTTTGAAAGTTTCATTTTTTTCACTCAGAAGATTACCATACTGAGCATCTGCTTATAAATACAGCATGTACTAGTACATTTATTCTTTACAGAACAGTTTCCCTCTGTAACACCTTTTAAAAACTTTTTCATCTTTTCTTACCTTGGAAAAACAGAGAAAACTTATAATAAATGGCAATGTCTTTCTTTCTCTAAAGTGGAAAGAACACAAGTGCTTGTTGCTAACAGAGGAAAAATAAATTAGCTCCAATGTGCAACCGTCACTTTCGAATTACTATATGCATTCTTTTATTTCCCCACAACACTTTTCCACCCCGATTTCTAATGGTTCAGTTCATAAAAGTCCACTTCAGTCCCAGCCCCTACACCAATAGCACAGCGTTAATGCAGCCATCATTTTCAGGGTTATTTGTAATCTGTGCATATTTTCCCCACACCACTTTTCCACCCTGAGTCACAAGGCCCAGTTCACTAATGTTCACTTCAATGACAGTGCCCTTGGTTAGCACTCCTAGTGAGGTATACAGGGGGGAGCTGGGGTTCTTCTTCACTCCTATAATAGGGAGACAGAATGTGGCTTTTAACTCGGGGTGTGTCACATGGGC